GGGGGGAGAGGGAGAGAGAGAGAGAGAGAGAGGAGAAAGAGAGAGAGATAAAGAGATGAGAGAAATAGGAAGACGGATAGACATAGGGTCAGACAGTGAGTGAGGATAGCAGAAGTGTAGGTGTTTTGGTAAACAAAATTGAAATCTGTGATATTGGGTCAAATTAAATGCTTACTTTTCTTACATTTAATTCTAGCTCTGACATTGTTTCTGACCGTTTTCCCAGCTGAGCTTTACCATCAATACTATTATCCAAACAGACAATAGAACACTCAGAAACTTTTAACAGTTTCTTTCTTCTCAGGAAGCATACAGTGCAAGCAGCCGATTAACATTTAACAATAATAATATGAAATGAAAAAAACAACAACCCCCAAACAAATAAAAGACGTACATCTCTTTTGCTATCGCTGTCTGTCGTTTAGCGGTTAGACATTTCGCCATCGCACGTAGGAGACTCATGTTTGATTCCAGATTCAGGAGACTTGTAGTCTAATATCTCAGTCTTTCTGTTGGGATGTTGTATCCCTCCCAGCCAGGGTTGGCCCTGACAGGCAAGGTTGAAGAGCGCCTCCTGAAAGATCTAAATGTGAAGCAGCGTATTGGAATCAGGCTCTCGTCAATTTTTAGGCCTTTAGAGTTATTGGTATCCTCTTGGAGCTTGTTCACTTGTCTTTTGTTTAGATGAAAAAACATCCTTTTATCATGGATACAAGTCGAGATATTTGCGAAAGAAGGGGGTGGGGATCACCTGTTTTCAGAGGTAAAATTAGTGAGAAAATGGCCGCCAAAGATTTGTTATTTCCTAGGCTTAAGAGTCCGTGGTAACTGAAAATTTACATTTTTGTGACTTTAATCAACGCTTTTCAGAAAAATCCTCACAGAAATGAGTTCTTTATTGGGCATGAAAGGTGTTGAGCCAAAAACCCCCCACACATTTCATAAAAATTCACAAACCTGCAGAAAAATGGAAGTTTCTTCAGTTTGATTTTTTTGACGAGAGCCTGATTCCACCACGCTGCCTCACAAATTGTGTCGGTTGGGGCGTAAAAATACCAACTTTTTTTTTCTCTTTTCTTTTCCCCAGACAAGTTTGTGATCGGTCCCAAAATGACCAGGGTCGGGTGTGTGCTCTTTGCCAACCAAGCACACAAAACATTCTGCTTCAACGTGTTCAAAAACCGTGACACGGTGGTGAACGTAAGTAATTTAGTTCTTCTCATGAAGAAAACAGTCCAACCCGCTTTGACCTTTGACACCCACCTGTTCAAGACAACCACCTGTACAAACGACCACTGGCCCCTTCCTCCATTTTCTATGACACTGTCCTAGACGTCCACTTGCTTGTCTAAGACAACCGCTTTGTTCCATGGCAATTGATTTACAATGTCGTACTTTGCACTCATTACTTTCTGGGAGATTGTAGAATAGTATTAACCAGGAAGGTGATTTTTCAAGACTTTGAAACTGTTTTTACAAATTGGGTTCTCACAATTTTAACCCGAATTTCCTTGCGTAATGTAAAAGTATGCCACTTGAGTTTCCCAACCTTTCGCTTTTACTCTTTTTAGGTATAGAAAGTAGAATAATGTAAACGTTTTTCTAGGTACTACCTGCAGTATTCTTACATATTAAAAAAGTGGCTTGACGAGGTGAAATCAGGGTCCGTCAATTTTTGGACATATGGAGTAAATGGTATCATCTTAACGCGTGTTCTTTTGTCTTGTATTCGATGCAAAAAGTACCCATCTGTCTTAAATTGAAGTCGATATATTTCCGATTGATGTTTGTGGGGGACACCTGGTTTCAGAGGTAAAATTATCCGGAAAATGGCCACCAAAGTTTAATAACTTTCATAGCTTGAGAGTCCTTGAAAACTGAAAGTTTACAGTTTTTGACCCTTTAATCAATGTTTTTTCCCCATTAAAATCCACACAGAAATGTGTTTTTAAATGGACATCAAAGATGTTGAGCCAAATAAATCAGAAAAAAATTGCCAAACCTTCACAAAAATGCCGATTTCTTCAATTTCAGTATTTTGAAAAGCGCCTGATTTCACCACGATGCTTCAATATTATGATTCTGTTGTGTTTCTTTTGACTTTGTTAACTTCCAAAGCACCTTTCTTCTAAATTCAGACGTGTTTCTTTTGATTTTGTCAATTTACAAAGCACCTATCATACAATCTGAAACTTGTAGTCATTCTCAATTATGTAGGGAAATAAATTTTAATACTGAAGAAAATAATGAGCTGTAATGCGTATGCAGTAGAAAAGAGATGTTCGAAGTTCCTGTTACTTACGTGACATAGTGAGATCTACGCTCATTGTGTCAGGCATGGACGAGAAACATGGAAATTAAAATTGATCGGTCATGGGAGAGAATTCAGGCTGAATAATGTGAAAAGATACGATATAATTACACTGGGGCACAGTTATAACCCATTCCTTTTAGACATTTTCCCTTGGTGTTCACTTTGACTGGCTCTTCCACTGTCTCTTTGTTTGTTTATTTGTTTGTTTTTTGAGTGAATAGAAGCACATCAACACACACAGTAATGGTCATTAAGTGCTAGGAAAAAGTAAGAAAGACAGACAGAAACAACAGAGGGCAAGTAAAAAAGTAGAAACATCCAGTGGCGTCCTCCAACCACCTGCCGACAGCCTCTTAAATAGCCTAATAATATTGATGTAGGTGTGGAACCCATACTTTTAATTCTTTTTACAGGCTATCCGAGGCTTGAACTGCCCACAATGTAAGAAGGGCAAGACTGCCACTGGATCTGCCTTGAGGTTAGCCAGGGAGCTCCTCTTCCAGCCCAAATGTGGAGCCAGGAATAATGCCAACAAGGTGGTCCTGGTTGTGACTGATGGTCGCTCCACTGAATGTAAGAGCAAGAGTCCTCATTCTTTTTATACAAATAAGATCATGTGTTGTATTTGGAATCGAATATCTTTTTCATGCATACTATTTTTACTTTAATGAAGGTAATAATAAGATCATTATGTGGACTGTGGGTATATCTTTTTTATGTATTTTATTTTTACTTTAACTGAGATAATAATTAGATACTGATAATGAATTTGGAAGCAGATAACTTTTTCATGCAGGATGTTTTTTACTTTAATACTGATGATGAAATAACATCGTTGAATTTGGAATTGGACATATTTTTCATGTATGTTATTTTCACTTTGATTGCTTATGGGTGGCCTATGACAGTTCTCAAACTTTTTATGCAGAAAAAGATAATTAAATAACAATGTTGAAATTAGTACCAGATATTTTTTCATGCATGTTAGCTTTGCCTTTACAGCTGGGTTTTTTTTTTGGGGGGGGGGGGGGTTTGAAGGCACTTATAGTATGACCTATTTTTGTTACAAGTGCCGTAAAACTCTTTCTAAGATCAAAATTTGATGTTAAGATATAAATGAAGACGCATTGAACCTACCATTGCAGCGGCAGCACTTATGAAGGAGCAGACCCAGCTAATGAAGGACACAGGAGCTCAGGTGATCGCTATCGGAGTCGGTAAAAAAATGGACCGTAACGAATTGAAGATGATTGCCTCTCAGGATGGGTATGCCTTCAGCATCAACAGCTTCGACAAGCTGGACGATATCCTGGACTCTGTGAGGACCAGCTCCTGCGAGGCTGCTGCTAAAGGTAGATACGATAAGATGAGATTAGATGAGATTAGATGAGATGAAATGAGAAAAGATGAGACTGTGAGGAGCACCTCTAGTGAGGCTGCTGCTTGGGGTATATACAGTAATGTTAGATAAGATGAGATAAGATTAGATACGAGGAGATAAAATTAGATGAAATTAGACAAGATGGGATGAGATGGGATGAGATTAGACAAGATGAGATAAGATGAGACGAGATGAGACAGTGAGGACCAGATAATGTGAGGCTGCTGCTAGAGGTAGATACGATAAGATAAGATGAAACACGATAAGACAAAATAAGATAAGATAAAATGAGACACGATAAGATAAGATTAAGATGAGATAAGATGAGACACGATAAGACGAAATAAGATAAGACAAAACACAATAAAATAAGATGAGATAAGATAAAATAAGATAAGGAGAACTAGACGAGGTAAAGTGAGTTAAAGTAAGATACGATAAGATGAGACAAGACGAAATAAGATGAGAAAAGACAAGATGCAACAAGATCGATACGAGAAGCATACTGTTTTTTTAATAGAAAATTTTTTTTTTAACACAGTTGTTTAAAAAAAATATGTTATTGTATATCATTCATAATTTGTTATGCTGTTTTAGCGAAAGTTTTTTCCGTTTTGGTAAAATGTGTATGCTTTATTTGATGTGGGTCAATGGCCTTAAACACTGATTAGGATACCTACTCACTTACCGCAATAACTTAATAAATAATACGAGAAGAAATAAAAATGAGATTTTCTCTTTCACTTCTCCAGAACCTGGCTATGGTGAGATTTGCACGAGCATCTGTATTTCCAACTTGAGATGTGAGATCGTCAAGGACAAGAATCGATGCATCTGTGGAAAGGGTTACTTCTTCGATACCGAGGTGTCCAGCTGTCTCCCAGGTGACTATAATAATTATTCAGCTAATGCTTTTGTTTATACCTTTTCTGAAAGGTCCCAGTTGCATGAACACAAATCTTGGTCAGATGTTCACATGTACTAAGCCCAAAGTTTTGAGAAAAACAGCATCAGCATAGCAGTGTCTGAATATACGGTAAGCTATCGGTTTCACATGCGCAGGAAATATTTCAACAAAATTCAAATTCTAAATGTTGAAAAGGACAGGAAAAGGTGCACAAAGTAGGTACAACAGTTTATATCCCTCTCCTGAGCAATTTTGTTTTCTGGGCTTAGAATACTATTTGAACAGCTTGCCAAAGAAATTCGATTTGTATTCATAAAATTCATAGCAAATGTCAGTATTATACATTTGCACTTGCTATAATCATGCTGAGGAGGCATAAACAATTGAAGCTACGAAAACCAGGATTACTTAAGGAAATCAGAAAAATGCACTACTTGTATGATAAGCCTCAACACACTTGTATGATAAGCCTCAACACACTTGTATGATAAGCCTCAACACACTTGTATGATAAGCCTCAACACACTTGTATGATAAGCCTCAACACACTTGTATGATAAGCCTCAACACACTTGTATGATAAGCCTCAACACACTTGTATGATAAGCCTCAACACACTTGTATGATAAGCCTCAACACGAGACATTTTCATTGCTTTAGAATCAACCCTTTTTGTGCTTTCTTCATGTTGATAAAGCATGTTTTTCTTTTTAACTTTCTTTTAAACGTTTCGGTTATTGGACTTTCTGAGGGAACCTTCTTTTACAATGCTTTTTAAATATAAGCGCGCCTATGACAACGAAGAAACATATTTGTTTAATTTCGACTCCTATCAGGGAGACTTGTGGTATTGGTGGTGGTGGTGGTGGTGGGGATGATGATGATGATGATGATGATGATGATGATGATGATGATGATGATGATGACGATGATGATGATGAAGTGAATGAAAATGAATATACATGTCACTTTTCTATTGTCTATTACAGACCCTGGCTACCTCGAGAAGTGCGAGAAATCTTGTTCCTCTAACTTGGTGTGCAAAAAGAATGGCAATGAGAGGCAATGTCGATGCCAGCAAGGATACGTCTATGACGAATCTCTTTTGGCTTGTGCCCGTGGTAAGCATCAACGTGTGCACTACTTCTGCCACTGTAGTTCTGTTAATCTTACTGTTGTAGTTGTTTTGTTGCTGCTGTTGTAGTTTGTTGTTGTTGTTGTTGCTGTGGTTATTGTTGTTGTTGTTGTTTTTGATGTTGGTGTTGTTGTTGTTGTTGTTGTTGTTGTTGTTGTTGTTGTTGTTGTTGTTTTTGTTAGTCAGTAGGTTATATCTTAATATTATGGTTGCCTCTATCCCATTCTCCTTTTTTTTCTTTTGTTTAATTTAGTTTTGCTGGCTCTTTGATTTTCAAGAGGTTTTGACAATGTCATAGAATATTAACTCGCCGATCTATGGTTTTCTTTTTCCTTGCAACCCCTATGCCCTTAGTTTTTTTCAAGCAGATACTTTAAGACTTTGTCCTGGTGAGCCTATTCAAATTTCACTTCACAATCATATGGCACAGGGCATTCACTCCCCCCCCCCCCTCTCTCTCTCTCTCTCTCTCTCTCTCTCTCTCTCTCTCTCTCTCGCAGACACACAAACACACACACAAACACACACACAAACACACACATACAGACAGATACACACATGCATACACACATACACCCATACACACACACACACTCACACACACATACATACGAATGAAACCAATTTCAATACCGAAAGCTATATTAGTTAGTATTGAGCGTAGTAAATGATATCAGTTTCTTGTACTTTGATACTTCAGTTTAGTCTGACCCTCTTGTTATACTCCACCCTCCATTAAATGACTGGCACGACACTATTTCCCTACTGTTTCCCACTCTTGTTAACTTTTGAACTGAATTCAAGATTTGAAGTCTGTTATTCCGCAATATTTTCTTTCTTGAGTGGTAGTGTTTTCTTCTGTACCGGTAGCCTTTTTTTAAAGATGTAAATAATGAATATTATAACATTTATTATTATCCAGTATCTTTCTTTTGTTTGTAGGGTTATATCAAAACTTCTCAAATTTGTAACTTTTACAGAGGCAATCATCAAGGCTAAACTGGACGTCATCTTCCTCATTGATGGATCTGCAAACGTTGGCTCGAACAACTTCAACTATCAAATCAACTTTGTGTCCAATATTGTTGGTAAGACTGAAACCTCTTTAGTAACCTATTCTTTGCTTTATATGCAGGCTGTACAATTCTTAGAAAACTGATTTTGCCTGTTTTCATGAAAACCACTGGAAAACAAATGCCAGGTTACATAAGGTATCTACTCTTGCAATGCTTTCATTTTAACGAAAAGGATTAGGAGAGCGGTGTTTTTTCTCTTAAACATGACTTATTATAGTTTGAAAAAGTATAAGATAAAAAGCCTGCTTAATAGTGAAAGTTAAGGATTCAAATTGAATGTTATATCTCATTTATAAATTTGGAAAGGAAGAACTAACATTGCCTACCATAAAATTTTTTCGAGCTTGCACATTCCCTTAGTTCGATTAAGTTCACACATTTTGAAAGTGCAAATCAAAGTTCTTTTATGACTGTGACATAAAAGTCATTACAAGCTAAATGTAGTATTACTCTTAGTGTGTTTTAAAGTCTATATTTAAATTTTGTATTGTAAAGGTACAAATAATTAAATTTGTTACTTGCAAATAGTATATTAAGCTGAGTAAAGAATCCAATAATCATAATTAGACAACAAAGTATCTGTTCTAATTTCAATGGACAAAGTGTCATCAATTCACGCGTTGCTTTCAGATAACTTCTACATCGGTGACAAGGATGTCCTGTTCAGTGCTGTCCAGTTCTCAGACAAAGTTTCAAACCTCTTCTGCTTCCGCAAGTTCAGAAGTGCCAAAGGAATCAAGAAGGTAAGCCCATCGCGTTATCCTCCGCCAGCCCTTCAGATGTATTAAGCCCCAAATTTTTAATCAATAAAAAAATCATTGCACTTTCTAAATCCATGGTATCGATTGAGTGTGCTCAAGGCAAGATATTTTGTAGAGATGCACATTCTTAATGTTGAAAATGCAAGAAAGATACATAGTGTAGGTACAATTGTTAAAAGGATTAAACACTTTTCTTTTCTCTCCTGAAATCTTTTGTTATCTGGGTTTAGTACATTCGAGCGCCTTGCGGACATTACTCTCAATTTGCTGTAGTTGGGAGTGTTTTAATACACCCTGGAGGAGGGAAGCCGACAGACATGCAGAACTATCAATTTTTACAGAAAGCGGCCAAAAATGTCGGATGGAACATTGTAATTCTGGAGTAGCAACTAGTGTGTAGCGTGTAATGGGCCACAAATTATAATTTCATTTTCATTGATTTCCTTCCAGGCTCTGAGCCTTGCCTCATACGCTAAAGGTGGATCCAAGAATCTGCTTAAAGCCCTGCAGTATGTCGAGAGTGATTCCTTCAACAGAAAATGTGGAGCCAGACCACAGGTGCCTAAGGTTGTCATTATCATCACTGGAAACAAACCAAACAATGGTAAGATATATTAGTTTTTATCAAAATGATAGGCTTAAACATAATGATGATAATGATAATGATAATAATGATAATAATTATGATAATAATAATAATAATAATAAAGATAGTAATGATAATAATAGTAATAGTGATATAGTAATAATACGAATAAGAAGGAAATAATAATGACAATGATTGTGATAACAACAATATTGATAACAATGATGATGATGATGGTAATAATAATTATGGTAATAATAATAATCATCATCATCATCATCCTCATCATCATCATCATCATCATCATCATCATCATCATCATCATCATCATCATCATCATCATCATCATCATCACCATCATCATCATAAAGAGAAAAAAGAAAGAAGGTAGGGGAAGAAAAAGAACGAAAAAAAAGTTTTAAAAAAGTGAAAAGTACATAACTCATGTAATCTTCCCCCCTCCCCCCCCACAAAAAACTCCGCTGTCACTCCAACTTCCCTTCCCCTCCTCTCCCCTGTCCCCCTCCGTCCCTCCGTCCCCTCTCTTATCTCTCTCTCCCTCACAGCTCCCGCCACCAGCAACTTCGTGAACCAACTCACCGCCAACGGCGTCACCGTAATCAGCGTGGGTATCGGACCAGGAATCACGCTTCCACAAGTGCAGGAACTGGCCTCCAGCAACGACCTGGCCTTCTTCGTGGACGGTGGAGACAACCTGGAGGACGTTGAGCCTGATGTGTCCGTGTGCACAGCCGGCATTTCTACACGTAAGGTTATTTGTTAGTACGAGTACGAGTATAATAAGGAGGACATTAATGGGTAGATAAAGAAATTAAAATATTATGTATTTGTTGTTGGTAGGAAAAATTTGTATGGCTGGTAAAATGGAAACATATTTGATAATAATAATGCTTACGAGAATAATGCTTATAATAATATTAATATAATAATAATAGTAACAGTAACAGTAATAGTAATAGTAATAGTAATAATAATAATAATAATAATAATAATAATAATAATAATAATAATAATAATAATATTAACAATACTACTACTACTACTACTAATAATTATAATAATTGTAATAACAATAATGATGCAATATTATGTAAAACAAATTTCTTAGGGTCTACATTTCTAGGCCTTTTGCGTATATTAAAGTACAAATTCATTAAGGAGTTCTTAAATAACAGCAAAATTCATGAATAAATTAGCTAATATGATGTTGTAAAACCCAGGGAAACAGGAATGAATTATAATTGTTAGTAACGAGTTTCATGTTTATTATATACCATGTACCTATTTTCCGCTGTTTCAGTGCCTGGCTACAGCATGGTATGCTCTGAAAGATGTGCCTTCAACCTGGAATGTACTGAAACCAATGGTGAATTCCACTGCGTCTGCCACAAAGGTTACTTCTTCAACCCCATGCGCTCCAGATGTGAAGAATGTGAGTGCCTTTGCAGTTTCATTTTAGCTTGTTTTGTCTGAGTCCGATATTGAAGAAGAAGAAGAAGAAGAAGAAGAAGAAGAAGAAGAAGAAGAAGAAGAAGAAAAAGAAGAAGAAGAAGAAGAAGAAGTAGAAGAAGAAGAAGAAGAAGAAAAAAAAAGAAGAAGAAGAAGAAAAAGAAGAAGAAGAGGAGGAGGAATAATAAGAAGAGGAAGTCCATGAGAACTTTTGTTTACCCCATGTAAGAGAATTCTATTTTTTTTTTGTCCCGTGTCCCTTTTTCGGTTGCCATGTTTAGTGATCTTATCTGTATGAGACAATTATAGACTTTGAAAATGTGGGTGAGTAGGCACAATGATTTTTCAACTTTAAAATGGATCAAAAAGAGAATATGAATAACAATGCTTTGGTCTATTTGTCAACGTTTGATTCATTAATTCATTAGTATTTTTTCTGTAGCTTCTGTCGTCTATTCTACCCCCCCCTCCCCCCTCAAAAAAAAAGATAAACCACACGAAAATCTAGTTTTAACAGCTGTTAGTACTTGCGGGTAGATGGAAGACAGTGCCAGTAGATTGTTCTTCTTTTGTACGCCTGTAAAATTTCTCTCAACTGCCTATTTCTATCTTTCTTTCTTTCTTTCTTTCTTTCTTTCTTTCTTTCTTTCTTTCTTTCTTTCTTTCTTTCTTTCTTTCTTTCTTTCTTTCTTTCTTTATTCATTCATTCATTTATTTTTATTTAAAAATATGTTTTAAAATGTATTTATTTACTTATTTGTTGATTAATCAATCAATTAACTAATGAATTTCTGAGGGTTTTTTTTTGGGGGGGGGGGGGGGTTATTTATCTATCTTTGAGTGTGTGTGTGTGTGGGGGGGGGGGGTATTTTGATGCAATTTGTTCCACCCATCTGGCTCTCTGGTGAAAGTAAAAAGAAGTTCATTTGGGTCATCGGAACGCTTTGTGCTTCCCCAGTGCCCGGGTACGATGAACGTTGCAATGGAGCTTGCAGTTCTAACTTGATCTGCAAAGGTCGGAGCAACAGTAAGAAGTGTGTGTGCAGGGATGGGTTCCACTATGACGCTGCTGCTGAAATCTGTGCTCTCGGTAATTATATTCATGCCTTTGTGCGTCCGCTAACTCTCGCAGTCATGTTGATGATGATGGTGATGATGATGATGATGATGATGATGATGATGATGATGATGATGGTGATGATGATGATGATGATGATGGTGATGATGATGATGATGATGGTGATGATGATGATGATGATGATGATGGTGATGATGGTGATGATGATGATGATGATGGTAGTGATGATGGTGATGATGATGATGATGGTGGTGGTGATGATGATGATGATGATGATGATGATGATGATGATGATGATGATGATGATGAACACGATTTCTGTAAACTACATTAATTTCCCTCCTTAATCCAGGGATTTGTACCTTGTTGAAAATACCTCGTTAATATATAACTGTGTTTTCAGTGGTAGACTATTAGCCTGTCTCTGATTTTCATTATTTACGCACCAATCTTTTTTCTTATCACGCTGTGTCATGGGCCTCACTTAAAATACATTTTCCCCGTTCTTTTTGCAGAGAATGTATGTGAATCCAAAGTGGATCTACTCTTCATTATTGATGGCTCTGGCAGTCTTGGACCTCAAAACTTCCAGAATGAATTGAACTTTGTTGCTGACCTTTCAAGTAAGATAATGCTGTTTTTTGTAGTTGTTACTTTTCTACTTAATTCAGAGATTCTTATCTAGTCGAAAAAAGTTCTTCAATATTTAATTGTGTAATCTAATTTTCACACTTTACAGCCAAATTTTATTCCTTATCTAGTGAACTGACATTATATCAGATTTGAGTATTTTCGTTTATGATTGCTTTTATTCTTTTTTTGTTGACGTCTGTTTTTCTACAGTGTGTTCTTTAGGAGTGAGTTTTAAAGCAAATTGATAGCAAAAGATCTCCATTTATCCATTATATTGATTGCAGCTCCCAAAGGTAGGGGGGCGTCGCTAGGCTACCAGACTCGTTATCATGAGATTGGGGGTTCGGGGGTTCAAGCCTCACCTTACCTCAGTTAGACTTTGTGTCCTTGTGAAAGGCAGTTTACACGAATTTCCCACTTGGCACGGTCCCTTTGGAGATGGAAATTAAACTCTGAGGTCCCGCCTCTTAAATAACCTAATTGTGTTCACTGCGCATTACGTCCATATAATTGCACCATTTTCACCAAAGGTAGAAGTGGCAGTGTGATTGTTGTTTGTGGTTGGGAAACAACCCCCCCCCCCCCCCCCTCACCCAAGGCAGAGATGAAAATATTATTAATTCCATGTATTCTGAGACTAAGGAAAACATACAACAATGGGTATATAACAGACGATTAGTTCTTAGAGGTGGGCACATCTATTGACTGCGTTTTTGGTTTTCCCCCTTGTTTTTATTTATTATCCTAAATATCTGCTTGTCTCTAGTGTACACACTGTGTTCTCATAATAATATATTAAATCTTTCTTCTTCTCTGAAAATGTGGGTGCGTAATACACACGACTTGTAGCTTGAAACCTATTTTTTGATGCTGTAAAAGTTAACATTTACATAATATTTCAAATTAAACTTGTTGCGGGAAAGTAGGGAGTAGGTTTAAGACTTGTAAGTGTTTGGATCGCTTCGTTTTTAGATTTTAATTTTTACAAGCACACAACTTGATAGATTATAAAAACTCTAAGACATGCCAATTTAAGTCTTTTCACAACCTGCGTCAGAGCCTCAGGTGATTAATATTCCTCTAATCTTTTCCTGATGAACAAGGATATTAACTTGGAAAGCTCATTTTTAAATTACCTAACCTGTCTTAACAACAACAACAACAACAACAACAACAACAAAAGGATTAGATAAAATAATTTGTCTTATTTCATAATTTTACAGACTCATTTAAGATTGGGGATGCTCGCATCAGTGCCCTTAGATTTTCCACTGATGTTGATGCCCAGTTCGATTTCAACAAGTACTCCAACAACGCTCAAGTTCTTGAGGTAGGTGATGCTGATTTGTTTTAGGAGATTTTTTTTTCTGAAATGCAGGAGCACTTTTCTCGTTGTGGGTGAGTTCTTGTAGTCTTCTTTGTACGTCTGCTGCTTTGTGCACTTCATTTGTCTGCTACCTGCAAGTCTAAAGAAAAGGGGAGAAGGAAAGGGAAGCTAGACGGGAAAAGGAGAGAGAGAGAGAGAGAGAGAGAGAGAGAGAGAGAGAGAGAGAGAGAGAGAGAGAGAGAGAAGGGGGGGGGGGAGAGAGAGAGGGACAGGGAGAGACAGAGATAGAGATAGATGAATAGATAGATGGATAGACAGATAGATAGATAGATAGATAGATAGATAGATAGATAGATAGATAGATAGATAGATAGATAGATAGATAGAGAGAGAGAGAGAGAGAGAGAGAGAGAGAGAGAGAGAGAGAGAGAGAGAGAGAGAGAGAGAGAGAGATAGATCCAAGCTGGCAAGTATTGGATCAGGACGGTTTTTCTCAGTTCTAGACTAGTGTCTGTGATGTAACAGTTGAATATTCTGCTTTTATTTTCTGAAGGCTTAAGTTCAGTTCCTACGTGGAAAAGACAATTATTTGACAGAAAATTTAGTGTCTACTGCGATGTATCCTGTAGAGCTCGAATCAGCCAGATCAATACAGCCAGATTCCTAAAGGACCTGCATTTTGGTTGATAGAGATTTCCCGCTACAATATTATATATCCCTCTTTATAATGATAATAAATCACGTCGATTACATTTATATATTTGTGAGGCAGCGTGGTGGAATCAGGCTCTCGTCAAAATAATCAAGGTGAAGAAACTTGCATTTTTCTGCAGGTTTGTGAATTTTTATCAAATTTTTATTTTTTGGCTCAACATCTTTCATGCCCATTAAAGAACTCGTTTCTGTGTGGATTTTTCTGAAAAATGTTGATTAAAGGCACAAGAAATGTAAATTTTCAGTTACCACGGACTCTTAAGCTAAGGAAATAACTAACCTTTGGCGGCCATTTCCTTACTAATTTTACCTCTGAAAACAGGTGACCACCACCTCGTTCTTTCGCAAAAATCATGACTTGTATTCAAGGCAAATGGCTATTTTTTTTTCATCCAAATAAAGACAAGTGAACAAGCTTTAAGATGATACCAATAACTCTACATGCCCAAAAATTGACGAAAGCCTGATTCCACCACGCTATCACATTTGATAGAGCAGAGCGCATTACCAAGAGGTAAGTTGTCAATGTGCCTTACAAGTGTGTAAAGAATTATAGGTCTAATAGAGGTCCTTTAACCCCCCCCCTTCCTTCCCCCTATTAGGCCATTCGCGCAATCAAGTACACTGGAGGCATCACCATGACCGCTGACGCCCTGGAATACGCCAGAGAGACTTCTTTCTCCGCGGCCGCTGGCGCTAGAGAGGACGTGAACCGAGTGGCGATTGTCATCACCGACGGAAACTCTACCCTGCGTAAGACTTTCTAGTAGATTCTAACAGTCTTTGTGTGGAGTTATGCTTGCTGTATTTGTATAGTTATCTATTTGCTGTATTTGTGTAGAGTTATGTCTGTGGTATTTGTATACTAATATAGTTATGTCAACAATATTTTTATATAGTGATGTCTGTGATATTTGTATAGAGTTATGTTGTTGGTGTGTGTATAGCGTTACGCCTGTGGTATTTGTATAGGGTTATGTGTGTGGTATGTTTGCTGTATTTGTTTAGAGTTATGTCGGTGGTATGTACAAGTATATTATAACATTATGTCTGAGGTATGCGTACATAGCTGAGCCTGATGTATTTGTTTAGCATTATGCCTGTAGTATGTGTAAAGGGTTATGTCCGTTGTATTTGTATTGTATTATATCTGATGTATTTGTGTCGAAATATGTTTGTCATATTTGCTTAAAGTTATGTCTGTGGTAATCGTCAGGGGTGTCAAGCCCAATGGCTCAGGGGGGCTGAACTTGGTTTATACCAAAGATTTCAACCCGAATTGGATAAAGACTCATTGAGCAGTGGAAGACTAAACTTAAAAAAAAACAAAAACCCAAAAACAATTAATCTTTTTCCTATTGCAGCTGAATCAACCATCACCGAAGCTCGTGAACTTCAAGCCTCTGGCGTCGAGGTTCTCGCCGTTGGTATCGGCTCACAGCTCAGCCCGAAGGAACTGAATGCCATCGCTTCCAGCCCAGAGCGAGTGTTTATGGTCAACTCCTTTGATGTTCTATCTGCCATCAAGGAGAAGGTGCTCACCTCCACTTGTGATGCAGCTCAAGTTGGTAAGCTGGGGAAAAGATTCCAAATTGGATTTTAAAAATAATAAATATATACATTAAAAAAAAATAGTAAGTGTTTTACTGCGCTAGCAACTGCGTAAGGTTATGTGAGCTTAAATTGTTGACTCTACTTTTGAATTTCAAATTTAGGATATATTTTTTTCTCATATAAACAAATAGCTTACTTTTCTTTTTTTATGTTAGTTTACAGTTTTACAGAATGTAAATGGAGTGGCGAACAAAGAAAACAGAAGGCTAACAAATAGCATACCTTCGAAGACCAGTGTACTTGATCTATTTGTAGGTTCATGGTTACTTTCTTTTTGAATAACCCTTTTAAACTATTCATGTTGGGTTTATAGATTTTTCTTAACATAACCCTTCTACTAATTGTTGGTTCACAGTTTATTTCCCTTTACTTTACCCTTCTATACATGTTAGGTTCGCAGTTATTTTCTCTTTACATAACAATTCTGTTCACCGTTGGTTCACAGTTACTTTCTCTTTACATAACAATTCTGTTCACCGTTGGTTCACAGTTACTTTCTCTTTACCTAACCCTTCTTTTCATGCTGGGTAAGCAGTTAGTCTATCATCTCTTAACATAAACCGTCTGTTCGTGTTATGACAACGCCTCTTTGCTCCCTGTACTCTAACGTTTCTCCCGTTCTTGCCTTTCAGTGCCTGGATACAACCAGTTCTGCCGGGAAGAATGTTCCTCTAACTTCGAATGTATGTTGCTGGACGAAGCGACAAAATGTGGTTGTCCTGAATTTAACTACTATGACGAAGACCAAGACAAATGTATGCCAGGTGAGTACAAAAAGAACACGTCTATAGTGTCACTAACAAAGCGGCGACTCATGAGAGTGCGTGTGTGCCTGGAGAAAAGTCTCGGTTTTTGGTAAAGCAAGTTTAGAGCAACAGTGTGAAAAGGCCAAAGAAATCGTACCCGGTCAAAAATTTCATCAGAAAACACAATATGTTTAACCATTTCTTAATAGAATATTAAAAGGATTCTATAATATTTTAAAACTAAATGTCCCTTCAGTTAGTTATTTTTACAACATGTGGTACTTCAACAGGTTAAAAATGTGCTAGGAATTGTGTTTTTCTCCAAACTTTGTTTTCACGCCATGTGTTACAAAAAGTGGCATATCGCTACAACTGCCCAAGATATTTGAAAAATTTAAAACAATCAGTAGGTTCAGCATCGAAATTGCTACAAGAATATGCCCTTATTTTAATATAGACAATATCCGACGACTGGGATCTTTCTCCAGGCACACACACACAGACACACACACACACACACACACAGACACACACACACACACACACACACACACACACACAGACACACACACAGACACACACACACACACACACACACACACATACACACACATTCACTCACACACACACAGACACACACACACACAGACACACACACACACACAGACACACACACATACACACATACAAACATAATAATATCATCGGCAAGATGTTCAATTGATCTAAGCCCAGAAAGCACATTTTTAAAGAAGAGATTATTAAAAAATAAAAACTCATTCATTCTATTCTATAATATCTCTTTTAATTCTCTCTCTCTCTCTCTCTCTCTCTCTCTCTCTCTCTCTCTCTCTCTCTCTCTCTCTCTCTCTCTCTCTCTCTCTCCCTCTCTCTCTCTCTATTTCTAACACTCTCTACCCCCCCCTCTCTCCCCTACTGTCTGCCTTGCTCATTTTATAGTGCCATGTTTAATCAAAGATCGTGTTGAGGCCTTGTGACTTTGATATTACCTCAACGCCTCGAACCCCTGTTTTCTTCTATCGCTAGTGCCTACCTACAAGGAGAGCTGCACCACTCAGTGTAGAGCTAACTTGATTTGCACTCTTCAAGAGGATGAGAGCTCCATTTGTCTGTGCGCTGAGGGACAGTACTTTGACGAGGATGACAGTGCATGTGCCGTTTGTAAGTATGGGGCAAGACATCTTTATGATGCTTTTACTGTGACCAAATTAATGTTTGGCGCACACCGTTTTCCTTTCTACAGAGCTGTGGCAGGGAGATAAAGTTTGATGATAATGCTGGTGACAGCCTTATGGTGGCGATGATATTGAAACCGTGGAGATGATGAAGATAGGATTGGGATAAGCAAGATAATTATGATTATGTCAGGAATGATAGAATGATGACTACGAAGATGGTAATGAAAATGGTTATGCTGAAAATAACAACATTTAAGAGAAAATGAGTACGAGGGTACTTCTTTATTATTATGGTGAGAGAGATGGAGGAAAAGGTGGAAATGAAAGAAAACAATGAAAGCGGAAACAGCATGAATGTAGCATCAGTGGTCTAGCCGTAAGGCTCTAGAACCCTCAACCATTAGGTCCTGAGTTTGAATTTCATTCATTCATTCATTCATTCATTCATTCATTCATTCATTCATTCATTCATTCACTCATTCACTCATTCACTCATTCACTCATTCACTCATTCACTCACTCATTCACTCATTCACTCATTCATTCATTCTCTTTTTCTATCGTTGTTGATAGTGCCTGGCTTCCAGGAGGAATGTGACGGCCAATGTTCTTCCAACTACGAGTGCAGAGAAAGCCAGGGCAATCTGCTGTGCTTGTGTCCTAAGGGATTCAACTACGACTCAGACAGAGATGTGTGTGATGACAGTAAGTCTGCTCCATGGACACCTTGGGGAAGAAGTTTAGAATCAGTTGCCCCCCCTCTCTTGTTCATTGATAGACAAACATGTACATACACTGTTATAGACATAACTGTAAATACATACGTGCATTATATTATTATAAATATCGCGACACTAGAGTTACAAGGTTCTATCTGCTCAGTGCCTGCTTTTGAGAATTTTAACGTCAAAGATTTCAAGTTTTATATGTCAAGCTTTTTATCCAAAGGCAATTCTTTGAGTAGCTTGATAATGCTTGATATTCAGACGATTTTGATGGAGCAGATAGAACATAATTTTGGTTTCTGACCTCATGGTCTAAGTAACTCAAAACGTCCCAAAAAAGTCAAATAGAACTTTGTACTTCTAAGGTAGCGAAATGCGTAAGTCCACAAACATCAGACTGTACAAATACACACCTAGCCTCAGCTTTCACCCTCAATCACACGGATGTGTTATAAATGAACAATTATTGTTAACAAAAACAACGTTTAGGCTAGATATATAATATCATGCAGATTTTTAACCAATATTCCCAATTCACTGGTAGGCTGGAAGATTGAGAACAAGAAACACTGCAATGAGTCTGAGATGAATATTATCCTCGTAGAATAATCATGACACCCCTCTACTTTTGTGATCTGACAGTTCCCGACTTCAAGGAATCTTGCACAGATTCCTGCGCTTCCAACCTGGTTTGCAGAAAATTCTGGGGCACAATGCAATGTCGCTGTGCAGTCAGCTTCTACTGGAACCCAAGCCTCCAGATTTGTGAATACCGTGAGTATTGTCTACGCCCAGATGGAATCACAGCGTAGTCTAAAATATTTTTGTTGGTGGATAAGCTAGAAACGTCCATTACATTTTGTTTTTTTAATTTAATTAGTTTTCTTTGTGGGTAAGCAAGAAACTCCAATGTGGGTGGCTGGCGGTTGTTCTGGTGTTGTTTGCACCTATTTTCTTATCAAACAGCTATCTTTGTTTTCTGTCCTCCTCTTTTTCTTCGTATGTTGCTCCAGTAACATCTCTAATTTTCCGCACTTATATGACCTACTTGTGTTGCAAGTGCCATAAAACATGTACTAAAACTAAAACTTAGCTTCAATTTTTAAGATTTAAAAATATTATTTTTCTATATGTAAATAATCAAAAAACTTCAGCTTCAGTTAGTAAAATAGTTTTTGTTTGTTGACAAGCTAAAAACTTCAAGTGGATGGTTGGCGGTTTCTCTGGTGTGGTTTGCTCCTTCTTTCCTATCAAACATCTATCGTCCTTATCTCCCCTCCTTCTTGTTTTATATTTGTTACTCTTTTGTAACACCCCTAATCTTCTGGCACTCATATGACCTTATGCAGTTGCGAGCGCCGTAGAACCTCTACTAAAACTTTTTTTTTAAAACCCTCCAATTTCTTCCCCCTTCCACAGTTCCAAGATACGATGAGCCATGCTCCGGCAGATGTAGCTGGCCCTTCTGGTGCAGGAATGTGCCTGAAGGCGGATCCTTTTGTCTCTGCAAGAATACCGAGTACTACGACCCAAGCACTTACAGGTGCAAGCCAAGTGAGTAGGCAGAACGCGTGAGGTTGAACATTAGTTTTTAACTCAATTTGGACACCATTCAGGCCCTTTGGCGACACTGGAAGTCGCTCTGTTTTGTGGTACTTAATTAAAAAAGAAGCATAACTTCATTATCACTACTTATTTTTCCGTTCTACTTTCTTTCTCAAAAATTTAAAAAGGCAGACAACAACACGCATTCTATGAAATATGCAAATTTGTATTTCTAATTTGAGCATGGTAGTGGGAAATGAGGGGCTGCTTTTGGTTTGTAGAACTGACGGCTGACACTCACATCTACCTCTATCCCCCCCCCCCCACACTCACACTCACACCCTCCCCCCCACACACCCCCACACACAAACCCACACACATACACACCAACTGCAAATTGTGCCCTAAAACAATAGGCCTTTGTAACGTTCATGAAGAGCTTCAATATCTTTGTTGTTGTTTTTTACCCACAGTTCCCACCTACAACCAGCCCTGCCTTGGAGTTTGTCAATCTAACCTCAAGTGTACTCAAGGAAAATGTCAGTGTTCTGAAGGCTTTAACTTCGACACTGTGAGCAATGAATGCTCCCTGGGTAAGTCCAACATTTCAACATTTACATTAGAATTAACGTCTTTGGACACTTCGTTTGCTCTGTACAAGATACGTTACCATCATACGTATGAATGATTAGACAAATGTAAAATGTTTATAGCTGACGCTCGCTTCATAATCTTCTTCCGTTTATTCATATAATATCTCAAGCTTTAGCTGATTCCGTATATTTCTAAAATATTTTAAGCTTTAGCAATTTTCATTAAATTATATAATTTTTCAAGCTTTATGAGATTTCGTTTATTTATAAGATAACCTGAAGCTTTAGCAGTTTCCGTTGAAATAAACAATTTTTCTAGCTTTTGCAGATTCCGTTTATTTATATAATTTCTTAAGCTTACAGTGGTAGACCACATTTTGCCAAGAGTCTTCTCTAAGAGACTTTTCTCTTCACACACAGTATCCAAATGCAACTCTGCTGTGGACCTTGTTTTTGCCATTGATGCGTCTGGAAGCCTTGGACTCAATAACTTCAAAAAAGAATTGGCTTTTGTCAAGGAGATTATCGGTAAGTGGATAGATCATCATCATCATCATCATCATCATCATCATCATCATCATCATCATCATCATCATCATCATCATCATCATCATCATCGGCCTTTCTGACTAGAAGCAGCAGGACCAGCAGCAGCAGAAGTAGTATTAGTAATAATGATCATAATGATAACAATGATAATAATAACATTTTATCTGTCAATGTCTGACGAATACTATTTTGCATAGAAAAATATTATTTCTCTGACAGAAATAGAAGAAATAAGTATTAAGATGATCTCTGGCTTCTGATATTTCCAGTGGAACAAATTTTGACTAAGAACGGTTTACCACATTTTGAGCATGTACTTTCAATTTAATACAAAATCGCTATAGGGTTTAACGTTTAACATTGCCTTGATATTAATGTTGCTCTGAGTCCAGTTTCAAGAGGTTTTATTGTTTGACTCACTCGTCCCCTTTCCCAACGCAGGCTACTTCCCTGTGGGTCCCGATGCCGCTCAGATTTCCGCTCTCACGTTTGCCTCAGAGGTCAACAACTTGTTCTGCCTCGATCAGTACAGTTCTAACGAGGCCATCGCCCGGGTATGTAATGAAAAGAACTATAATGCTGTATAGATAAACAATAACCGCACGCTCATACTTGTCTAAAACAGGGCTGACAGCAGAAACGTATCCTATGCTGATTGATTTGCTATGGTACCTTTTGTTCCCGTCTTATTGCTTTCCGCTTTCTGTCTTTTTTTATTCTGTGCTTTCTGTTTTCTTTACTCTTTGTTTCTGTCTTTTTTTATTCTGTGCTTTCTGTTTTCTTTACTCTATGTTTCTGTCTTTTTTTACTCTGTGCTTTCTTTACTCTGTGCTTTCTGTTTTCTTTACTCTATGTTTCTGTCTTTTTTTACTCTAGCTGTGCTTTCTGTCTCTTTTTACTCAGTGTTTTCTGTCTTCCCAACTCTTTATTTTCTGTCTTTATACTCTCTGCTTTTGGTCTTTTCACTCTGTATTTTCTGTCTTTTTACTTTGTGCTTTCTGTCTTTTTTGTTCTGTTTATGTGGCGCTTCATTTGAATCCAAACTTCTACGTTGAGTGCTACATGTTGATTTTGCATGTGTAGTTGGTGGGTGCTCTATTGTGGTTGGCTCCTTCTTTCCTATCAAACTCCTATCGTCCTTCTTTTCTTGGTGTGCAACTCTCTGATATCTAATCTTTGGTACTCATCTGGGTTATCTTTGTTGCAAGTGCCATAAATCATTAACTCAAATTAAACTAAAATTTGTTTCGTGTCACAGGCTATCGAGAACACCCATTACTCTCACGGTGTGACAATGACTGGAGACGCTATTAGGTACATCCGCTCTGAAACGTTTAGCGCTGCCTGCGGTGCAAGGAAAGGAGCTTCTAAGGTCGTCATTGTTCTTACTGACGGAAGATCTACTGAATGTGAGTAGAATCAATTAATACACAGAATGACTTATATTATAATAATATCCATGACTGTGCGTTTGGATGACATAATTCGCTACTTCAGAATTATAAAGTTCTATCTGACATTTTTGGCTGTTTTGATTTACTAAGACCATGAGGTCAGATACCCAATGTTTTATCAGCTCTATCAAAAATCGTAAGAGTATTTGGAGTTGTTATCAAGATATTAAAAAAACTGTATTCGAATAAGCTGGACAGGATGTGAAACTCTAAATCTTTGACGTCAAATTTCTCAAAACCAGGCACTTAGCAGATAGAATTTAAAATTCTGAGGTAGTGAATTCCTCTTCACCATGGAATGTACCATTTAGCTCTATTTGGGACCATACGAAGTGCAACGGTGTAAGGTGCCACGCACACTCTACTAAAGCGAGAATGACGTTTTGCCCTCCATTTGCACACCCATGGTGCCCACAAGTGTTCAGCACTGCAAAGTTTAAACAGAGAACAAAAACTGGCGGCCATGACAGTACTCGTCTAGAATATAATTCAAGTCTCTGGTTAAATGCGACGAATTGTTCAAGAAAAGGACTTGCCAAATTACTATATTAAGGGGGGAAATGTGTTTCAGTTCACCATTTCATCCACAGTGAGCATTCAACAAATATTACAAGATCTCAAAATTATGAGCTCCATGTAGAAGGATTGAAACATTGAACTGAATATTGCCCACATATTGCTTCATGCACTCAAAGGTCATGAAAAGAAACTCTGTACTTCTTATCCATTTCCTGGAGAACATTAATTTGAGGTACGATCATTCTAGAATCATCCGAAATTATCTTATGACCTTACTTTATTGTTTGAACTAAAAGTTTTCATGTACAGATTTCAAGTTTTAATTTTGTAAGTACAACGTTTTGCAATCGTATCAGCTGTTTGGACAAAAACGAATACTAACTGAATGAAACATTAATTATTCCATACTTTTCTCTTGGCATCTGGCACTTTATTAGCTCAGTTGATGTTGATGTTGTGCTCGATTACGGAGCTTTATTTTCCCAGATCGGATCTTAATCGAAGCAGTCTCGAACTCAGGTCGTTTCGTGGAAGTTTCAAGGTTCTCAGCCCATTAGGCTTAACCCTTTCGGAGTTCCCACCTCTTAATTTAAATAACCTTATAGTGTTGAGCCCATCCACACTTCTTTTCACACTCTTGTTGTAACTTATCGTACTTCTGTATCTGTGAACATCAACAGCTGACGAAACTGTACGCCAGGCTCTGATTCTTAAATCTTTGGGCGTGGAAATCATCAGCATTGGCATTGGAAACCAAGTGGATTCAAATGAACTCAAGGCCATCGCATCTAACCCTGATCTGGTATTCTACGCTCCAACCTTTGAAGATCTTGCCTCTCTGAAGGCTCAAGTTGTGGGTCAGTCTTGTGAGGCTGCTGGAGAAGGTATGACTCATTCACAGAAATCTGCTGTGTGTGTGTGTGTGTGTGTGTGTGTGTGTGTGTGTGTGTGTGTGTGTGTGTGTGTGT